AAGATGATAGGTTTGCAACAACTGTCTGTATGTAAATCATTTTCTACTGAGTATAGACATTGTGATCACCTCTGTTACGTTGCTCGATGGCAGCATGAACAGGTGACTTTCCTTGTGGTAGGGCATCACCATCTTCATTTCTTATAGGGAACGAAGCTTCCGTTTTCAAGAGATTATCAAGCATCCCGTTCTTATTGCCGTTCTCAACTGCCAGATATAAAGGAGACCTGCCATTCTTGTTGTTGTAATAGGCCACTTCTGGATCTCTGGAAACTAGGAAAATGGCAAGTTCTTTGTTGCCCTTGATCACTGCATCATGCAAAGGAGTGTTTCCCTTTGTATTTTTCTTCCTCATCAAGCTCGGATTCGATTCCGCAAGAGATTTAATTGTATGACTGGCCTTTCCTTCTCTGGCAGCAAGATGAAGGATTGTGTCCTTCTGGCTGTTTTGGATGGTGATTAGAGAAGGAAACGTTCCAGCCAGATAAGATGTAATATTGTCACTTCCATAGCTTACAGCCAGATAAAATTAATTAAGTTGACATATATTAGATATATTATTTTATTAAGAATATATTTATATATTATTTTATTTAATGTCATTGAATTTTTTTTTGTTAAGATTATAAAATTCTTTTTTTAATATTAGCATTGCTTTTTTATGCAACCTATTAAAATTGATTTTAAAAAAAAAATTGTTGATCTTTTCCATTGTGAGTATCTATTTTTTTATGCAACCTATTAAAATTGATTTAAAAAAATAAAATTGTTGAGCTTTTCCATTGTGAGTATCTATGTTTGTTATTATAAAAATTAAATAAAAAATTAGTTTTAAAAAACAAAGTTACTAAACATAATTAAATTCATAATTTGAATTGTAAATTTATGAGGTTATTTTAAATTGAAATAGGACAATCCAATATACATAATGTTCTGTGCTTGTCCCCGTTTATAGAAAACATAATGACATGGGAAACAATAGAATGTGTGAAATTCTTCTTACATAATCATCAAAATCCATAGGTTATAAATCTATCCATACGGACTACAGTCATAACATCTGTATCCAATAAACTACAATTAATCATTAGGGACTCAACTTCAAATCTGATTCAACTCTTAGGGACCCAATTAAAATCTGGTTACCAAAATTAAGGACCAAATCATAACAATTCAAACTCTAAGGACCAAGCAATGATGATTATAAATTCCCATAGATTATATTGTATCTTTACCTTCGCCTTCTCGAGACTTCTGCCGATTCTCCTTAACCGACAGTGGCTTAATCCTTTCTTCATCTTCTTATTTCTTTGGGACTTAATAATCTTGTGTGGTAAACGTACATGCACCTGCAATTATTTAACCATAACTATCTTTTATATATACGTTTTTATTTGTTGTATCTTAAAAGTTAATTTTAGTTGCTAAGAAATGATTATCAATCTATAAATATGTCATATAAATTCAATTATTTATATAAAATATAAATTAAAAAAATTAAAGATAAACTACAATAATCTCTTTGAAGTATTATAAAATTAAATAAAAAAATTAATTATTATATTTTTACAAAAAAAAAAGATGAACTAAACAATTTTACAAAATCAAATGAGATGATATTAATTAAAATTTAAATAAAAAAACTCATAAGAAGTTTTTTTAAAAGATTAGGCGATGTTAGAAATAACATACTAAGCCAGCGTGCTTAGCCAAGGATAAAAAAACCCTTTAAGTTTTTTTATTTAAATTTTAATTAATATCTTTTCTCTCTCAATATTTAGACATCATTTCTTTTTTTAAAAAATAAGATTGAAATGTGAAATGCTAAACAACAAGGACCAAATAATAGATAGATTAAAACTTTATGGAGCAAATTAAAGTTTTCCATGCCAATATTCAAATGAGGTATTTTTTTAATTAAATTTGGTCATTTTTAAATTTTTGTAAGTAAAAATAAAATTTTATTTGGCCAAATTAATTCTTAATTCATTATTATAAAATTCATTGACATTTTGTATATGTAAGACAACAAAATGTTTTTTTTAAAAAATCTTAACATGTAAAACTATGTTAGCATAATTTTAAAATATTAAATTAGAAATAATACAGTTTAAGTGATCAAAATTAAAAAAAACAAATTGTATTAATATTGCAATGAATAATGCATATCGAGGAGGAGCAACAATACACAATATACCATGAGTAACAATTAAAACAAGCAAATTTATGCATGGATGTACAAAGGAGACCAACTTCTTCAATGCATAAGAAATAAGAAGTGAGGCTCACTTTCCTTCACCAGCATGTACCATGAGAACTTTCTGAATTTCTTATATTGAAATTCTATATGTGTCTTTCCATTTTGATATACAGAATTTTAAATTTTAAAGTTATATATTAAATTTTATACTAAAAATTTTAATTTCAAACACTATCCTTGTAATTCTAAATTTATAGTTCTACACTTGTAATGATATTCTTTAAATATAAATTTAAAACTTAGTGATCTTTTTATATAAAAAAAGCAAATTAAAACTTGTGGAGTAGTTAAATTACCTAAATGTTTTGAATACAAAAGATTACTTAACAACTCAGGATTAAAGAATTTACTTTCTAGAAAATCAACTAGATGTTAGAAAAGATTTTACAATTAGATTTACAAAGAATATTTGTAGTATTACAAATTAACTGAAAATTCACATAAAAAAAGCCATCATAAACCAAATAAAAATTTTAGTTTAACCTTTATATTCTTATGCAAAGCCATACACATAAATGATTGGCATGTTAAGAATGCTTTTGAGCTATCAACCATTAAAATTTCAACAATTGTTCAACCATTAAAATTTCAACAATTAAATAGCAAAAGGGATCCAAGATAACATGTGACTCACTCTATATATACTGTTCAACCATTAAAATTTCAACAATTAATTAGCAAAAGGGATCCAAGGTAACATGTGACTCACTCTATATATACTTGTAACAATACTAGAATTGATGATGATCTCATTCTAAAACAATTCATTTGTTCCTTAAAATGCAATGCATGACTAGTACATTGACTTAGGAGTCTTTTTTAACTTATAGGTGGGAGCAATTGAAACATATGTTTCTACAACAATCATCATATGATTAGCATAATTGAACTTATTAATGCACATTAATAAATAAAAAAGCATGTCATTGACTACATTCATTAATGGAAAAATATTATCCTTAATTGTAAGGATCAACTTATCAAAAGTTCTACTCTAGATATATGCATTGAAGGGATGCATTAGGGCTGTGCTATAATTTATAAAGCATTAAAACCTAAATATTTTAAAGAATTATCTATTAGAACACACAACATAGTACTTAATATTGCTATAGCTAAAACCTTATCATTATCTATGTAAGATCCTAAAAAAATATAAGTCTGAAAGTCATAAATTTGAAAAGAGTACTTTAAAGGTTCAGGAAAAAAGCACTTCAAAGGTTCAAGGTTTAGGGAAAATAATATTTGGTAATTAACTTCATTGTCATAAATGTACCAACTAGAGGTAAAACAAATAATTATACAGTACTAAATGCTTTTAAAAGGGTGAAAAAAAAAAGTCATTCTTTAAGGAGTGACAAGAAAAAAGCATCAATTCCCTGACTTGAATATATCAATAACACTATATGATTTGCAAAGTAAATTCATTAAGCTATCAAAGTTGAAATATCATTAAAAAGTAAATCAACATCATTTAGTTTATCTACACACTAAATCCAAGTACATATAACTATGATAAGCTATTAGATCCAACACATTAGATTCACCTATATGTTGAGCCCAAACAGATATGGATTTTTTAAGCTATCAAACCCAATATCTTAGAGTTCAACTACATATTGAACCCAAGTACATATAGATTTAGCAAACTATCAAACTCAATAACCCAAGTACATATAGATTTAGCAAACTGTCAAACTCAATGATATTAAGTTCAGCTATGCACTAAGCAAAAAAAAAAAAATCATGGGTCTAGCAAGTTGTGAGACCTAAAATCCTTGGGTTTAACTATGCACTAAGCTCGGACATGAGTCTGGTAAGCTACCAACTCTAACATCTTTGGGTTCAGCCATGTGCTAAACCTAAAAAACATTTGTGTGGCAAGCTTCCAAATGCAACATCATTAGGATCAACTAAGTACTAAGACCAAGAACATATAGGTCTGTCAAACTACCAAATCTAATAACTTTGGGTTCAATTATATATTGAGCTTAAATAGACATGAGTTTAGTGAGTTATTAGACCCAATATTCACGAGTTTAACTATATGTTAAGCTTTAGTATATAGGTTTGGTAGATTATCATACCCAATATTTTTGGATTCAATTATATGTTAAGTGTAAATGGATGTGGGTCTAGCAAGCTGCAAAACATATTGCTAATGGACTTGGTATCATGTCAAACCTAAATGGGTATGGGTCTAAAGATCATTACGAGCCTCGTGTTGGCCTATAAGGCTTTTTTTGTTTATTTTTATGATTTTAAACATGAAATGTTAATATTAAGAATACTCATTTCTCTACACTTCTAAATGTATAAAAGTCTTTTAAGAGCCTGTCATATTTTCATCGGTATTAAATACTATGTAAAATATATTTATTTATTATTAATAATGTGTAAGAGATATTTATTCATTGTAAAAACACTCGAAAACCTCTTTTTTAAACGTATTGAATTTTTCAACGTCATCAACTGATGAACAAGAAATCGATCTTTTTGCCAAGAGAAAAGTAGAGAGTAAGGAAGGATTGAAAAACAACAAAAGAATCTGCTGTGAAACATGAAACGTATGACAAAAATTGATGCTTTGCCAAACCATGTTCACCTAGCAGCCGCATCCTTGCCTATAACAGAAACCCTATCCACTCAATTAATTAAGGAAACAAAAGAGGTTAAACAAACATGCATATAGTAAATTTTATAATTTATACTTTGGTCCCTAAAATCAATAATTGCTTTAAATTAGGCATCAAACATTGATTCTATCATTTGATTTGATAAATTTTAATCGAAATTGATCCCTAAATTTCTAATTTTGACAATTATATTTTATTTTTACAATAAAAATATCTATATTAATTTACTATGAAAATTTAATATGATGAAATCAAGTTTTAGTTGAAAAAAAGATATTCAAAGTTCAAAAATCCTCTTAACCATATTTTTCAAGAGATGTCCACTTATTTTAAGGCTAAGTGAACTTGTATCGAGGCAGTAACATCTATATAAACAAAAATGTTGTACCAATTAAAAATTTTCATGTCTTTTTTATTTTTATTTTGACCTAAAAAATTGAAATAATTGACATGAAAAATAAATGGGCCTTTATGTATTTTTTAGCCAATGAAAGGTTAATTTTGGTCCCAAGCTCAGAAAGGTGGACAATATGGTTGAAATGATCACAACGAGCCTGGTTTGATTGGATCAAGTTGATAAGGTGATTGAGAATGTTTAGAGCGAGCCACAGATGATATGAGCTCTCACTTATATGAAGATTTTAAAAGGGATGAAGTGAAAGAAGTCTTAGATTGGATGGAACCGAAACAAGTTCCAGAACCAAATGATATCCTAGCTTTAATATTGTTATCCACTGTCCTTAAATGAAACAATTTAGGCCAACAATGTCTTTAATTTCAATAATTAAAGATATCAACTTGATTGGTCTTAACAGTATAAAAATGGCCGTCCCAAATCACCCCTTAAAACAAGTTCAACAAGAAAAAGGACATGGCCAAGCATTGACCAAGTTGCATTATGATAAAGTCAACAAACATCGTCCCACCCTTGCTCTAATTTGATGCAATAACGTTTAAAGGTTCATGACATTTGCTCAGGAGCAAGACTTGACATCCTACGATCAGATCATTTTCAAGCTTGCATTCAGACTGTTCCTGTCGCGAACTTTGACACTATTATAGAAGTGATTCGTTTAGATAATGATGACCACCTTGCCGAACCGTCTTGTCTTTTATTTCCTCTGTATTATCAATATCAGACAAGAATGAGGCCTAAGAGGCCATTCAATAATGAGAGAAGGCCCGCGATCAAGGTGGTCATCATTTAAAGCCCCTGTGAAAAAACCACTTCTATAATAGTCTCAAAGCTTACAAAAGATAGAGTGAAAGGTTGCAACAGAAACAGTCTGAAATGCAGGCTTGAAAATGACCTGATCATAGTTGAAAAGGGGCAGGAGAAAAAGCAGAAGTTCTCTTCTCCTTTGCTCTGTTTTTTTAAATCAGTATGGAGGGTTGTTTAATAGTATGGTAATTATTATTATTTTTTTGTTAAAATATATTAAAATAATATTTTTTATTTTATTTTGATAACGTGAGACATCATCTGTAATATTATGTTCTCTTCTATTGATGGTAGGGTAGTGTTTTGCTGTATTTGTTAGAACAAAACATTTTTTAAAATTACTCGTCCTTTTACCTTGAAAAAATCCTGCAGTTCTCTTTTAATCTACTCAAGGGTGATGTCAAATCTAAAGCAAATGCCTTGAACCTATTAACCTTATTGATTCAAATTAGAGCATTGTTGGGATGGATGGATGTTGTTTTTAACCAAGTTGATGTCTTTAATTCTCCACAAATAACAATATCTTAATTTGAATATTTGATTTAATTTTTTTTAACTGAATCCAACAACAACAAACGGAGTCTAGTAAATGCATGCTTAAAATAAAAAAAGTACAAGTGCGCATACATTCAATTGGAAACTCATTAGTTATTACAAGTTCAAATTATTACCACAATCGCTAGACAGACACAATCCAAGATGTTATCCCCCAAAATCCCGACCTCCGATCTTACTAAATTGGTGCCTTATCTTGAGATCAGAGAGTTTCTTAGGCAGCCACCAGCGACTGTAGATAAACATTAAAAAAAAGCTGTAGTTGAAACAGTGCAAGAGAAACTGTAGAAGAACGTGGTTGAATTCTAGCGGGATAATCCAAGGAAAAACAAGGAATGCCTGAGCAATGAAAAACATAACGGCCACCACTTCTACGATGATTGTTAACAACCCACCATGGGATCCTAGTAATGCTATTCTCACAGAAACAAAGAATGCTCCGAACATCATGACAATAGCCAAACAAACCATGGAGATTGAAAACTTAACTGCAGGGATTTGAAATTTGGGATAACTGAAGTTTGACCAGAGAAGGATTAGAGCTCCTACCAGAGAGGTAGATAAAGCCCCCACATCGAGAAATAAATAACCACACAGAAGTTTCTCATAAGTGCAGTTGAATTCACGTGACTTATCTTTATCCCTTAATTGTGGCAATTGTATAGCACCGGCAAAGGTTACACCAGCAACAAGAACTGTTACCACCAGAAGATTCCCTACCATGCTCTTTATTTCCTCTTTTGCTCGTGACATGGGTAGTTGAATAACAGGGAAAATCTCCTTGCGGGATTTCTTAGGGCAGGCATTGAAGAATAAGATCGATAATGTTATCACCTGCATATATGGCACGGGGGAAAAAACTTAATTGTTTAATGAGTTCTTGACACTTCCTCAATTGCATCCAAAAACGTTTACCTTCAAATACCTTTCCCAGAACAAGTAATTTTCTGGAATGGTTTAGAATTTTTTAAAATAATGGTATACAAGTTAAATCAATTGGGCTTGAACTAGAAGTTTAAAAGATTAGGGATGGCAAGGGGGAAAAAAACAAAAAGGAAAGAAGAAAAGCAATGTTAATACCATCTGACAATACAGAACCGTTATTTCGTCCTTTGGTGATGCCTCTTTTGTATCCATCTTATGTGAATCAACTTCTTTGCCCTGTCAAAAAAAATAAAATAAAAATTAAATGTTAAAATGCCGTGCTCTCTCTGTGTGCTATGGCTAGACAGCAATCTAAGCAAATGAAACTGGTTCATGTTTGAGAAAAAGTCATTTGAGATTAAATGAGATATTAAGCTAAAGTACAGTTTTACGGCTCACCAATTTTGCGAATACAAGTCTAGTACCAACAGTAGGATTCTAAGTTAATTGTTAATATGAAAAAGAATGTGCATGAATCATGAACATCATAAAAAACATTTATATGGAAACTTAGAAATTGATGTGTGTATTTAATATATAGAATAAATTGAAAATTATATAATCCTATAAAATATAGAGAAAGAGTAATTGTTAGTGTTAACAAACACAAAAACAAAAGCTAATATATATATATATTGAAGATTTTTTATTTTGTGTTGCGAGATACTTTTAATTTTTTTATTTAATTACATGACAATAAATTTTTCATAAATAATTTAAATTCTATAGGATAAAAAAATAATTTAAATTGATTTTAAATAAAAAAAAAAAGATATTTATATTTTTTTAATCAAAACCATTTTCCTTATTAATACGTTCCATTTTTTTACTAATTTTTTATAATTTTTTTTTCAATAACAACCTATCATAATCTTATAAATAAGTTTTAATTAAAAAATAAAATAATAATGTATTGATGATTTTCTTGAAAAAAAAATAAATATTTTTTTAGCTACGTTTTTATTCCATAAAAACTAAAAGCGATTAAAATAATAAATATGGACAAAACTTTTCATGATTTTATTGAAATAAAGATAGAAAAGATATCTATTTAATAAAAAACTTTTTTTTTATTAATCCATCCTCTCTTTTTTTATAGTATTTTATAAAAAATATTGTTTCTTAAATAAAAAAAACTTATCATAATCCTAAACGTAAATACCTTGATCTCGTGCGCAGGGATACTGTTCTTTGAATCAAACTGCTTTCGTTCCTCGGCACGCTGGCAACAAAGAGGAAGTCCAGATACCAAAATATTAAATCAGTAATACTCCTAAAATATATAATTTTTGTAGCTCGATAAATGATGATCAAATTAATAGCATACCATTTCATCTGTTTTTATGTATTTCTCTTCAGATCTTTTGGAAGATTCTTCAGCCAACTCATATGGTGTCCAATTTCTATTGTTAACAATGAAATGTTCAACGCGATTGTCACGCACAAGAAGAAATGTAGCCGTGCATCGGCCATAAAATGCTCCCAAGTGCAAAGGTGTATTTCCATCCTCATCTATCGCATTTAGCAGCGGTGCGACGAGCTTCTGTTCCTGTTTGAGTATGTACCTAACCACACTGCCGTTTCCATATTTGGCCGCTACATGAAGAATGTTCTGCCCTTCCTTATTGAGGAATTCTTTTGGATATGGGAATATATCAAGAAATTCCTTCACTACATCAACAGAGTGACTTTTGCATGCTACATGGATAGGATAGTCGCCTTGACGGTTTGTTTCATAAGCACCATCGTGAAACTTCTTTAATAGGAATCGAACTCCTTCCAGAAAACCTATGGATGATGCATAATGCAGTGAATTTCCCAACTCTTCCTCGGTGAGACGTAATAGCTCTGGCTTTTCCTTTCCAATTTTCTCCAAAATATCTGAAAATCAAAAGAAAATGTTTCAAATGAATATAAAGATGATAGCTTTGCAACAATTGTTTGTATGTAATTCAGTTTCTAGTGAGTAATGAAATTGTGATCACCTCTGTTACGTTGCTTGATGGCAGCATGAACAGGGGACTTTCCTTTTGGTACGGCATCACCATCTTCACTTTTTATAGGGAACGAAACTTCCGTTTTCAAGAGATCATCAAGTATCTTTTTCTTATTGCCGTTCTCAACTGCCAGATATAAAGGAGACTTGCCATTATTGTTGTTGTAATAGGCCACTTCTGGATAGCTGGACACTAGGAGTTTGGCAACTTCTTTGTTATCGGTGATCACTGCATCATGCAAAGGAGTGTTTCCCTTTGTATTTTTCTTCCTGATCAAGCTCGGATTCAATTCCACAAGAGATTTAATTGTATGACTGGCCTTTCCTTCTCTGGCAGCAAGATGAAGGATTGTGTCCTTCTGGCTGTTTTGGATGGTGATTAGAGAAGGAAACGTTCGAGCCAGATAAGATGTAATATTGTCACTTCCATAGCTTACAGCTACATGAAGTAATGAATTCCCACTGGGAGTCACAAGCTTCTCTGTTAAATGTTGCTCGACAAGGCTTTGAAAGGCCTCAATATTGTCCTGCCTCACACACTTATGTAACTTCCTATTTATCATTGCATTTGCCATGTCATCTCTCGGGATCGAGTTTTCATCAATTTTTATTGCTAAGCTAGACATGGCAAAAGAAAGTATTGTGTTAGTTGAATCAGCTATACATATCAGACAGCTGGACTTCTAATTTAAATAGACCAGACTGCATGTCAATGGAATCTGAAATAATGTGCAGTTGGGAGAATCGATGGTTTGAAGAACATGATACACGATGGCATGAGATTCTATGTGAAATATGTTAATGGGAATACCTAATCTCCACTAAACACAAGGTGGAGGCAAACGGTGGGCATAAATCATGGCATGATTTATGCCCTTCACTCTATATATATATGAGCTGAGCTCGTGTTGTGTTCTGTAGAGTGAAAACACAGAGAGAAAAACGTGAAGAGAGATCAGAGAGCTTGAGTGTGTAGAGTTGAGTAGAGAAGTTTTTTCTCCTCCTCCTTGTTTTGTTGTTTGTATTGTTTCTTTGAGTGATTAATACAAACCAGTAGCTCTGTGGAGTAGGCAAGTTGCCGAACCACGTAAATTGATGTGTGTTTGAATGCTTGAATGGCCTAACAACTAGTATCAGAGCTTGTTCTTGAAAAAAAAGGTGTTTGATCCAAACTCAAAAGTCAAAGTTCTCAAAACGTGTTTTTGAACATACTATCGTGAAGAGGAAGACGAGAGGAATCCACTGGTGAAAACACAGCGAAAAACCGACGTCCTACATGCCCGCACGTGCCTGCACGCGCCACCATTTGCATTGCCCACGCGCACCGACGCGCCTCACGCTTTCCACACATCTTCCTTGATCGATTTCCTGCAATCTGAACCGGGTTGACCCGACATGTTAGCAGCCACGCACGCAGATCCGCACAGTCACCTGCCACGTCATCTATGCCACGTCAGCCCGAGATCACGTGGCTCTGCTATGTCACAATTATGGGCCCGCCTATCTTATGTGGCAGACACGTCAGCATTCTGGGTTTTGATCCAGTGTGGCGCAACGACTATTCCTCCTGACACGTGGCTTCATCTGCAGCATCTAGTGATTCAAAAGTTTGATTGATAAAATCTGAGCCATCCGAAGTTCGATTTGGGTGATCTCAGTGTCGTTTCCAATTCCAATATTTTTTGCCATTCCAGACACATCTGTAAGGTCAGATTTTACAGATTCGAATATGAGAAATATAAAAATGGCAGATGAAATAAAGGCTGTGGGAATTGAAAAATTTGATGGAACAGATTTTGGATACTGGAAAATGCAAATTGAAGATTATCTATATGGGAAGAAACTTCATCTTCCTCTATTGGGGAGCAAACTAGAAAACATGTCAGTAAAAGATTGGAAAATTCTTGATAGACAGGTTTTGGGTATTATCTGGCCA